TGTTCTTTCAATGCCAAAAGTCAAAGCTGTGAAAGTGCTTTTCAAAATATAGTCCACATCTAGTAGTATCTAGACTGGGTAGTATGGCTATCCTAAATGGATGTCAATAGTACAACTATTTCTATTTACAGGGATCAGTTGTTATAAAAGGACATTTAACACCATACACCTCCAAAAACAGTGTACAATGGGATTAGAATAAACATTAATGATTTCATTGAGCTGTAAGCCAATGGTGTTAATCTATCTCCTAGCCCTTCCCTAAAATAAGTACATGCTTTTAAGAAGAAATGTATTATGAATACTGAAGCATTGAAAATATGATTGCATTTTTTCCTTCATTTTTAAAAATGATTCTTTTCAGCTAACAATCTTGTCATCTTTGCATTTCTCACATTGACTTGACTTTTCTGGGAGAGGAGGTGTGCGTTTGCGTCAGTGTAGGTGGAACAATTTGCAGGTAGGGCTCCTCAAGATGGTTCATCACTTGGGCTACAGTGGGGCTACTCCCTGTCTACCTTTGGGTTTACCTGCACAACTGGGCAGCCCCTCAGTGGTGATGGTAGGTATTCTATCATTTACTCAGAAATAAGTCTAAGAATGGTAAATTTCAGAGCTCAATACTGTAAGGATGAGGCTCAGCTGCATCAGACAACAAAAGGCTGCTTTTGTGCCAGAGTGGAGTCAGGGAGTGGCCATTTCACGGTCAGCCTGCTCCAGTTGTCTTAACCACTGAATTGTGACCAACTTGCAAAGATAAGATGAATTGCTAGGAGGCTGACTTGCAAATAGTCAATTCAGTCAGCCATATAGACACAGGCGGTATAAAATGGAGGTCAGCTATGCACACTCAGCTGGCAAGCGATGGAGGGTTTTGCACCTTGAGGTCATTTATATGAAATGAGTCCCAGGCTGAAGAAAAGAAGAAAATTGCTTCTTAGTCAAGAGCACTGAAATCTGGAGTTTATTCTGAAAAGAGGCTTGGAGAATATCTGGTCTAATCCCTTTCTGTTATATAAGTAAACTGAGGCAAAAGGAAATTCATAAATTGGTCAGTATTACTAGAGTTAAGGAGAGAGCCAGGGTTAAAATTCAGGATTCCAACCTCCATTTTAGTGCTTTTTACCGTACCCAAGGGAAATGTACTCCATATTTCCTTTCAAAATGCCTTTCCAAAAAGTTGCAACAGAGGGTGTCTTATATTTTACCCTACTCTAAAGCTGGTGTGAATTCATGAATGGGTACATAAAAGGAGGGAGGATATCAGACTCATTCTTATGATATCCTTGGGATAGAAGGGCAGAAGAGAGACGTGGGGAAGAGTGTCCTCCTCTTTATGGTGGGGATGTTTAGTTTTTATTTTATAGTTTAGAATTAGACACTGTTGTACTTCTCTTTTTGCAATTATATATGTGGAGGCTTTCTTAAAAATAGTTGGACCCATGCTTCAAAAGTACAGATGCAACTATTTTTAATATAAGGAAAACAAGTCTTCAAAAGTATCAGGAATGTTATGCTGTTTTTATTTTAATTAAAAGCCACCTAAGTGATATTTAAGTGCTAATGATATTTCTGAACAGTGAATTTCATGATATCCTGTAGGTAGAATTGGGAAGTAGCTGTTTCTGCTGTTTCACCAGGACAAATTAGAAGAAGGAACATTCTTTCCTATTACAAGTCATAGTACATTTATCCCCATAATATTCAACTTGCTTAATCAGCAAATAAGAAATATAAACAAAATGAAACAAACAAACAAAACAAGTAAAAGTTACATACTATTGTCCATGTACCTTTCTTTGGCTATTATATAACATCTACAAACTTCCTTAAATTTTTTAATTGAAAAAAATTGTAAAACATGAAAATATTTGAAATTGCATTTATTTTTATTTACTTTTAGTTTTGCAGAATCATTGGGTGGAACAGATATCTTTTCAACTTCTAACAGCCTATGACTTTTATAAAGCTAGTTCCTCAACTGTATTTATGTTTTTCACTTGCCTAAGAACCTTAATTAAACGTTTACTAAGGAATCAGAAAAATTGATGAATATCTGTAAGAAGAAAGTTCATATTGTCACGTAATAACTACTACTCTTAACTTGGGGTTTTAAGAAGGAAAGAACAAAAAACAGAACAAAACAAAAATCAAGAATATCTTTTATAGTTGTGCTGCCATAACTGTGTTTATCGTTAAGTGTCAGAATGCTATCAGTGATAATGTCTTACTGAATAAGCAGGTAGCTTACCTGATCTCCATCTCCACAGCACCTAATAGATATTGTGGGAACACAGATAAATCTCATTTTATGTTCTGCTTTGTCACAAGAAAATTAGACTGTGTTCTTCTAAGGAGCATGAGGATATATACATATTCATTGTAATCATCCATAAAAATTACTTTAAGTTGAGCCACTATAAGCTTTTTGGGCACATGCAAAATCTGGATGACATGTTTTGGCTCATTTCACAGTGACTTGAAAAAAAAAAACAAAAAACTATACTTTTGAGTGATTTGCCACCAGACCTTTAGAAATAAGACAAATTTGTGGATTTTCTTCCTCAGAAGCATATTGCAAAAGAGAAGTATTGATTTTATTTCATTCAGGCAAAATTGGTTATTTATTTTTACTTATGGCCATTGTAAAATAGAGCTGAGCGGTCTTGTTATGATCAAGTAAGAATGATCTATATTGTTTTCCTGGATATTGAGTAGAATCCAAACCATATTGAGGTCAGCAGTGTTAGACAATTTCCCAGCCTTGAGAGGTGGCGATAGGATGAACGTAGCTTGTGGACAGCATGTCTGAGTCAGAGCAATAAACTCTGGCTGCGCATGCACCTCTATTAGGAGCACAAAAGAATCAGAAGTCTCATTTCAGACATGATAATGATGTAGACTTAGATGGCCATAATAAACGTGTAATTATTTTTCAGTCAGTTGGTTTATTTGATGATCCTGGAATGAAACACTCTAATGGCTCCACATTTAGCAGACACACACATACAGGCACAACTAAATAAAGCAGCACGTTAGTGCCAAATGCCTTTGCCTTTTGATATCCCGAAGGACAACATATCTAAAACTACATAAAAGTAAGTTGCATACATATTCATCAAACATTTGTAGAATATCTGATTTTATAATTCAATACCCTAATATATAGGATGATGAAACTGAGGCCTATTATTATGTCTATTATTTTTTCCTAAGTTCTAAATCAGTACTTAAGCCACTAGGCAGCACTGGTTTGTTCATGGTTCTATTAGAAATATTGTAGGAAATGACTTAGGGCATCTTTATCCACATTGCTTCCTCAGTCGGGTTCGGTATTACTCTACCTTGTTCTCTCACTTCAGGGCTCACCCTAAATTATACCCCTCAGAAGGAACTGCACTGCTAACCTTGTCATCCTTCTGTCTTTTACTCTCTATTGTGTCACTCTGCCTATTTTTCTCCCAGCATTTAGAAAAAAATTCTAATTATTTTGCTTATATATTCATCTGCAAGTATATTTTAATCTTCTCATTGTTACGAAAGCTACCCCAGGTAGGGTCCTCATCTGTGTTGTTCATCACTCCCTTGTTAGAACACGAACAGTGCCAGGGGCAATGTTGTGGCTCCATTCATATTTAATAGTTGCATAAAAGCGAGGGAGAATGGGGAAAAAACATTAATAATGTTTAAAGTTCAGAGGGGAAGGAGTCGAGGAAATTAATGGATGTAATACTAAGTAGAATATTCATGCACACTGTAGAGACATTAAAAAATGCTTTGGGGGTCAACAGGTGGTAGATTGAGGAGAAATTTAGAATGTTTGGAATAAATCAGAAGAGTTTGATAAAAGGGGGTTTGTGGTAGGTGGAATAAATAGCTCTCAAAGATGTCCACATCCTGATCTCTAGAACCCGTAAATATGATGTGACTTTCATGGCAAAGGGAATTTTGCAGATATGATTAAGTTAAGGATCATGAAATAGGGATCGTATCCTGGGTTATCCAGGTGGGTCATCCAGGTGGGTCCAATGTAATCACAGAGGCACTTACAAGAGTAAGGCAGAGGCACGGCGCGGTGGCTCACGCTTGTAATCCCACCACTTTGGGAGGCCAAGGAGGGTGGGTCACCTGAAGTCAGGAGTTCAAGAACAGCCTAACCAATGTGGTGAAAACCTGTCTCTACTAAAAGTACAAAAATTAGCCAGTCATGGTGGCATGCACCTGTAGTCCCAGCTACTCAGGAGGTGAGACAGGAGAATGGCTTGAATCTGGGAGGCAGAGGTTGCCGTGAGCGCAGATCGTGCCACTGCACTCCAACCTGAGCGACAGAGCCAGACTGCTCAAAAATAAATAAATAAATAAATAAATAAATAAATAAATAAAAATAAGGCAGAGGACAGTGAGAGAAGGAGATGTGATTATAGAGGCACAGATTGGAGAGAAGAAAAGAGAGAGACAGAGGGAGATTTGAAGGTGCTACCCTGCTAGCTTTGAAGGAGGAAGAGGCCGTGAGTCAAGGAATGTGGGTAACCTATAGAAGCTGGAATAGGCAAGAAAATGAATTCTCCTTTAGAGCTTCCAGAAGTAATATGACCCCGCCTATCCACTTTGGACTTTTTACCTCCAGAACTGTAAGATAACAAGTTGCATTGTTTAAGCCACTATGTTTGTGGTAATTTCAGCAATAGGAAACTAAGATTTAATCCCAGTACCCAGAGAAATAAGTACTTCTTGACATTTAACATTATTTGTTTCCTTTTCATAAATGGACTTTTGATCAATGAAGACAGTGAAAGAGAATATTAGAGCTGACTCTAAAAACCCTTTGTCATATTTGAAATAAATAGTTTATTTCTAAATTGCAAGTCATATTTAATTTAGCATTATATTCTTAGCTCTAAATAGAATAGAAGTCAGTGTGATAAAGAAAAAGTATTAGGGCAAGCCCATATCTACTGCCCTCTTGCATATTTGGATAAATTTCTCTTTCTAAATTTCAGGGACAGCAGAGATGGCATTATCCGCTTTGGTCACCTCATCCTCATGTCCAGTCTCAGGGAATGTGGTGAGTACCATTCCAGAGTTTCAGAGTGAAGCCGCAGGCTTGGCGCTCAGCACTGTCTCTAACAATCTATGAGACTCACAAGTCCTTTCTCTTTCCTGGTTCTCAACTTATGCATAAAATGTGTGTTAGCTTATGCTCAAGGCCCCTTCCAGCTCTAACTTTCTAGGCCCCAATTTAAGCTCTCTAAGAACTTGTGTTCTTTCCATTTTGGTTAGCCTTGTGTTGTTTTCAAGGAACTATAATGAACATTCATCCGTTTCTCCAAATCACATGGTAGGTGGATTTAATTTCTCAAGGAGTTATAGAAAGAAAACACAACTTTCTGGGAGACATTGAGGAGTCTCTGAAGAAAGAATATATACCACATATATTTGTCAGAGCTGACACTTTCATCTGATTATGAACCGGACACATTTTCAAGTAATCTTTCTGTTTTTATGATTTTGTTCAGAGAGTCAAACCAATGTCAGGATAAATGTTGAATTTAGTAACATTTCCTTTACTTACTATATTACTTAAGTTTACAAATGTGGGTGTGGCAAAAGAAGTGTTAACCCACAAATCATTTAGTCTTCCAGTCTTATCTGCGGAGGATACAATCCAAGACCCTCAGTGGATGCTTGAATCCATGGATAATAGAGAACCCTGTATATGTTAATTTTTTTTCTATCCATATATACCTTTGATAAAGTTTAATTTATAAATTAGGCACAGAAAAATATTGACAAAAATAATGGTTAATAACAGAACAATCATAACAATATGTTGAAATAAAAGTGATGTAAATGGGGTCCTTCTCTCCCTCTCTCAAAATATCTTCTCTTACTGTAGTCGCCCTTATTCTTGTGATAATGTGAGATGATAAAATGCCTACATGATGAGATCAAGGAGGTGAATTACATAGGCATTGCGACGTAGTGTTAGGCTACTACAGATGGTCGCCAAACATATAATATGATTTATGATTTTTTGACTTTAACATAGTGCAAAAGCTGTATCATTCAGTAGAAAGTAGTATAATACTCTGTAATGCGGAACAGCAGCAGTGAGACCCAGGTCCTAGTCAAGCATGCCCTCATGAGGCAACCAAAACTCCACAGAGTGCTGTGTTGTCAGATGATTTTGTAGTCTTATGCAAGTGTTCTAAGCATCTTTAAGGTAGTCTAGGCTAAGCCAGTAAGTTAGACGTATTAATGCATTTTCAACTCATGATGTTTTCAATTTGCAATGGGTTTATTCAGAAGTAACCCTATCTTAGGTTGAGAAGCATTTATATTGACCTTCTGACGATGTGTCAGGAGAATTATCTGCTTTAGGTGATCCTGGATCATCAGGCCATAGCGATGTAAATAATTGGATGTCAGGAGCAGACAATGTTTATGGTTGGGGATCCGTGATAGTTGAAAGCTTTTTGCCAAAACCTTTTGGAAGAACATTGTAACTGAACATTGTTCTCTCTTTTTAACTTGTCAAAGTGCTGCTTCCTAAATTGTAATCTTGTGATGATCATAAAGTTGACTTTATTGCTGTGCTCCATTGGAGGATTGTATTCCAAAATTTTGTCCTTTAATGTCAGTGCAATTCGAACCACTTTGGCAAATTTTGGTAATGTTCACTTTACTGGTTCTCCTTTGGTCTTTTCTTCTTTATCTTCCTCTTCCTTTGCAGATGACTCAACAGTTCTCTTTATTACTTATTTGTTAACCATTCTTAATGGCCTTCAATACGTTCTTCCAATTCTTCATCAGACATTTTGACAAATCCTTCTCTACCAACTTGTCTTGCTGCATGAATGGCTTTTCTAACTTCTTCCTTGATTCCTGGGAAGCCTTTAAAGTTATTCACAACTTTATAAGTTCTTTCAGCAAGCACTCACAATTTCTGGTTTTATTTTATCCATTGTCACTTTAATGAGTCATTACATCAACAACAGTGAAGAATGATTTCCAGCACTACCTTATGCCAGCTCAGGCTCTGCATCAATTGCTGATCAAATCCAATCAAATAGATAGTGTGGGGGCAGGGAGAGGGCATACATGGCCTTGAGAAATTGAATGTTGCCCTGGTGAAGGAGGTAAAGTAATGTGGTTGTATTTAAAGATAAAAATACAACCTTGACGTTTTTATTTTCATAGCAAACAGATTGAAGATGGCCAGGTGCATTGTCTGTTATTAATACGACTTTAAGTTCCAATTCTTACCCTTCCAAGTATTTTATTTTTAACTTCTGAGATGAAACATTGGTGGAACATAAACAAGATGGCTTTTACCGATGTTTTCTGATTATATTGCAAGGACACTAGGCAGATAATTTTTGTTTTTGTTTTTGAGGGCTTGTGGGTTCTTTGTTCTGTGCACTACTCCAGGCTTTATTATATCTTCACAGTGTTGCCACATAGTACCAGAGTTATTTGGGGCCTTCCATGGTTTATGCTCTGGTGCCCTGTTTGCACTTTTATTTTTTCTTTTTAAACATCTATAGGTTCTATTGGATATCATTTTCCACAGCAGCCTCGTTTAAGCACAGTTCAAGACATACTTTGTATGGTATTCTTTCTCCTTAATCGAACTCTTCAATTTTGGCAGAAATATGGCAGCAGCTTCTCATTGGCAGATGCAATCTCTCCATTAATTTTTATGTTTCAGTCCAAAGTTATTCTTGAATATGTGTAACCATCCCTTATTTGCAGTAAACGGTTTGGTGTCACTCAGTTCAGGGAATCCCTTCCTGAAGTCATTGTATAGGCACAGTGCGTCCTGATGCAACACAACGCCATACATCTGGACACACTTTTCTGTTCATGTTTTTCATGCGCAAATGTAATGCCTTTTTCATCTTCACCAATCACCTGTCACACACTGTGACTGTAACTATTGCAGTTTAAGGTGTGACAGCAAAACTTAACACAAATTTCTTTTTTCTTTTTCAATGATTTCATGGCTAGAAGATTTGTTCTTACTGTAGATCTTAGCAACTTCACAAAATGTTTTTTCTTACCTTATTAAGCCAAGGACATCCACATTTTCACTTAAAGAAAGCACTTTATGGCTTCTCCTTGGCATATCTGAATCACCAGCATCACTTCTCTTGTGTTTTGGTGCCACTGTTAAGTGAAATAAAATTTCCTTGAGCACAAACATTGCGACAGTTGATCTGATAACTTAGATGGCTACTAAGTGACTGATTGACATGTAGAGTGTATAGTGTGGATGCATTGGAGAAAGGAAAGATTTATGTTCTTGGTGGGACAAAGCAGGGTGGTGTGGAATGTTATCACACCACTAAGAACAGGACACAATTTAAAACGTACAAATTGTCGATTTCTGGAATTTTCTGTTTAATATTTTTGGACTGTGATTAACCTCAGGTAACTGAAACTGCCCAAAGCAAAACCATGGGTAGAGGGGTACTACTCTACTTGCTTTTACCTGGGTTCCCTAAAATGAGAACTCCCAATGTAGATGGCCCTAAGCTTCTAACTCACATTCCAAGTCTACAAGGATAGAGAGAAATTTGAGAAACCAAACACATTTAGGTTGTGTCCACATATACAAACTGGTTTTGGGAGAACTAGTGATGAAACTAAGTTAAGCAATTATTTAGAATGGGATTATCAACATTTAATTTCTTACTACTGGAACTTGCTGAATCAACTCCTCCTCCTCTGAATTCTGTGTGTGCAGACTGTGACCCTAAAATTAGTGCTAACAGCAAAACCCCTTTACCCCTTGCAGATTTTCCTCTTAAGTCTTTCTTGGGAGAAGAATTGCTCCCATGGTGTGGCAAAAGGTAGATGAGTGTTTTGAAGAGCCATTCAGTTCATTATTTTCAACAATAATTGAAATATTGAATTGAATAGTTTAAAGACCTGAATGAATCATCAGGTTCAAAATCAGAATCTGAACAGCAACTATTTACAATTGGAACAACCCTAAGCTTCAAAATTTCTAGCTTCACTGGGTAAACTAGGGCAAGTAAAAAGTTGAAGGAGTGATACAGCTATTGGGAATAAAATATTTAGAAATCTGAGAGATATTCTTTGAAACACAGACCTTTATTTCATGGGTAGATAGAGAGATATGTCAAGGATATTGCTGTTTGGGAAGAAAAAAAATTCCCTTGAAGTACAAGAAGGACTAACTTACAATAATCATCTTCTTATATTGAAGGGCTTAACAACCACAGCACTGGATCAGTACATCTATGATTGAGTTTTGATGATAATGCTATTATCTGTGTAAGATCAGAAAAAAATGACTTATCTTCACTTTTCTTGTTTGTACAATGGGGATAATAGTAGCACATGATGGTCTATTCCTGGAAAGTTTTTGGGAGGATGAAATGAGATAATGCCTGTGGTTCTTGAAGAACACTAAGGATTCAGTGATGGTTAGCTCTTTGTATTATTAGTAGTATTTATAAAATATGTCTTAAGAAATTCTTCTAGGCTAGCAGTGAGCTAGAATTTGAAGACAGAGTGCCACTGAATAGCTCATAGTTTAATGAAACAATAGCCACATAATAAATAAGAGCATTATAATGTGACAAGAAGCAAAGACAGGCATAGGTAAGGTATATTGACTGTATGGAGGAGGAATTAAATAGTGGCATCAGGTAAATTTAGAAAACACTGTTTATGGGAGGTAATACTTGAACCCCAATTCATATGATAAATTGAAGTTTCCTAGGAGGGAAAGTATTGTGAGAATGGGTTGTCTGGCTTTTAGTTTTAACTGAAGCTGAATTTGAGAGTGCTTCAATGTAATTTTGTGATCAATTAATGGTACATGATTTTATTTATTTAGTTGTTACCATTCATGGATGTGGGAGCGGAATATAAGGGTATCCATTTGGAAAGGAAACAAGTGTGAGATTTTGAAAGACATAATGTAGCACTCTCAGGATTTCGGATTTTTTTTTTGTTTGTTTTTTTGTTTGTTTGTTTTGAGACAGAGTCTTGCTCTGTCGCCCAGGCTGGGGTGCAGTGGCCGGATCTCAG